TTATTCTGAGTTGGAAATGGGATCCAATTCCTCCTCTAAACATAGTGTGCTGTTTTGAGGCTTCTCCTTGACTCCTCCAGACACTGACTGCTACAGAAACGCAACAACACAGATGAAGCCTGAGAAGCAAAGGCATCCCGGGGGACACGGGAAATTGGAGTGATTCCCTCCAGCCTTTACTCTATAAGGGCCTAGTCTCCTGGGTAGGGAACTCTGGCAGCTTGAAAGGAAAAGATAATAATAGTTTATACCAGCTGGTACTAAAAACAGACCCAAGGCTCATATACAGACATTACGCACATACATATTTAGCCTGTGGGCCCCAGTCCTCCCAGCATGTTTCAGAACCTTTTGTTCCCTTTTTCTGGTGACCTTATTCATTTTCATCTGTTTTTCACAGCACTTGCCCCAGAGTCCCACCACTTGCTAAGAGGACTTTGCTGAAGGCCTGGGAAAGGTCAAAGTCTCAGGTGAACGGGACACTATGGTACTTGCTTGTGAGCAGCTTTTACCAAAGTATACAATTTTTGTACTTTTTACCTTCATAGACCTGAACCCACATTTCCTGTCAGGAAAGAAAAACAAAGTATTGGCCTGGGTATCCCTAGAGTGCTAAGTCCATGTAAGTCCTCAGCTGAGCACGTTCACCCTTTTAACTTAATAAAATGGCATATGTGTTTCGGTTGCTCTTCTTGATCAAATAAAAAAAGTATGCTAAAATTAATTTCCCTTAGGCCCTGAACCCAGGCATGTAAGTAGAATTCTTAGTAGCAAGCATGTATATGTTGCTTACACTATGCCAAATAAGTCCCTATTGCTTGGCCTTAAAGCTTCAAGCATCTGTCCTCGCTCTTCACAACTGATTCTTGATGCAGTTTTAAACCTGAGAGCGTCCTTAGCATCCTGTCATTTTATTTACAGAAAGGAAATCAAGGCCCTGAGAGGTCACATTGCCTGTGATAGAACTTCAGCATCTCAAACATACTCTGACCTTATACTGGGGACTGTCCTTTGGATGAGCAGAGAGCCATATGGAGGAATGTTGGCATCTGGAAGGGCCCATTAAGTTTGGAAGGCAGTGCTCCATCAGATACTGTTAAAAGCAGGAGCCTGTCCCTGACCACTCAGCTGGTAAGACTACTGATATGGGATCCTCACCCGATCCTTCACCTGTCCTCCTGAAAGAATGACCCATGCTGAAACAGCTGTACACACTGAGGACAGTCCAACTGTAGCTAAAGTTTCATGAACAACTCTCTGGAAAGAGAAGATTCTGTGGAACACATGAAGGGCTACCTTCTACAATCAGAAGGAACAGAAAGGCTTTTCTCCTGACCCCACAATACTTCCCCCATTGGTCTTCAAGGTAGCACATGAAACTTTTTCATCATGAAGGAACTTAGAAGACCTAGAAAGACTTGTCAATGGTCTAGCCTACCTCCCTCATGAAGTAGATGAGAAAAAAACATAGCGCAGAGAAGTTAAACAACTCAGCCTAATCTAGCCAATCCAAAGTAAGATCTAAGAAATTGTCACAGAAGGTATTCTCTGAAAAAAGAAGAAGAAAAAAAAAAACAAGGTTCTGAGATCAGAGAATTTAGGAAATGTTAATTCTCTAGTCTCCTTTATCTGATGTACTTAGTTCTCTCACAATATTCTGTGCATACATGCATGCATGTGTACACACATGTGCATGTGGAGGCCAGAAGTCAGCCTTGGGTGTCATTTCTCAGGTGCTGTCCACTTTGTCTTTTGAGACAGAGACTTTCACTGGCCTGGGGACTTGCTGAGTAAGCTAACCTGGTGGGCCAGTGAGCTCCAGAGATCCAACAGTCTTTGCCCCTCCCCCCAGTACTAAGATTACAGACTCTTTTTACATGGATTCCGGGAACCAAACTGAGGTCCTGATGTTTTCTCTCATGGCAAGCACTTTACTGACTGAGCCATCTCTCCAGTCCTCTAATAACATTTGTTCAGCCATCAAATTGAAGCATACACTTTTAGGAATCGAGTCTAAGCTCGAAAGGTTGAAATGAGCCCATGAGTATTGAGGCTTCAGGATCAAAAGCTGCCTTAACTACCTCAAACACAGGGAATAGCTGAAGCTCATTTATCATGCACTCGATAACCTTTAACATGGTTTATTTATCTAAAGCTTTTCTAAGGGAGAGTGCTTGTCAAGGTATGGTCAAACAGGTAAGATCAGGCCTGAGGCTACTGTCTTGAAAGGTCTAGTCAAGAATGCTGGAAATTAAGTGAGGCAACCTAGAATCCTGGGTTCTCTGAAGAAAAGAAGAATCCAAGAGAGAATGATGTGAAAGAAGAGGTGGAGGGGTTGGTGAGATGGCTCGATGAGGAAAGGTACTTGCTGCCAAGCCTGATGATCTGAGTTCATTCCCTGGGACCCATATGGTAGAAGAGAACCAATTCTGGCAAGTTGTCCTCCAACCTTCACATGCACACGGTGGCATGTATGCACTCACACACATACATACATATGATTTTTTTTTTTTTGAGACAGTCTTCCTATGGTCCTAGCTGGCCTGGAACTTGGTATGTAGACCAGGTTGGCCTCGATCTCACAGAGTGCTGGGATTAAAGGTGTGCACTGCCACACCTGAAGAAATTAATCAAATGCAATAAAATGCAATAAAACTTTATAAAAGAAAGGTAGACTGATGACTTTATATCGATGCTCAGATGCCAAGGAGCTCAGAAAGTAACCGACTGTGACTAGTAATAATCAGATATATAGAGATTAGAAATGCATGTGCATCTTAGTGTCAATTGTATTGAAAATGAATTTTTCTGTATGAAACTGTATATTTTAATAGTGAAATGGAGATCTTTTTTAAAGTTTAAAACCTCATTTAATTTTATGTCTTATAGGGTTTATACTGAGTACAATATTGTATAACTATTAACAACTGTAAACCTAAAAATTTACAGCCAATTTTGAAGGAGATGCATCTTAACTCTGGAAATTGTTATTGAATATGTCAATGCTGTTGTAATGAAATGCTTCTTCTGATTGTGTGCTTATTAAATAAATAATTTTTTAAAAAAAAGAAAGATAAAAAGTCAGCAACATCACTCCGTGAGGCTTACAGGTTAGCCAATGACCATTACTCAGAAGAATGAAGCAGCTAATACCCGTAGTCCATGCCTAAAGGACATGCACACCCCCTGCAGCTCCATAGGAAATGACCACTTAGGAAATTAATCCTATTCTATACAGACTTTTATGTTCTAAATTTCCCTCCTGGTCAATTGTGTAAGCTCTAAAGAGGGACTTGTTTTTTATTTTAACAGAATTTTTTTAATTATAAAGAAAGACTTGTTTCCCTATCAATTAAATCCTGTTTCAATTAGTACAACTATCATTTAGGTCATTACTTTAAGTATCTGGAATTTCTGCTTAAAGAAGGTCACTTTCAATTTAATGAACACTCCTAAGTCATCGTATTAATTCCCAGCCAGTCACCCAAGAAATGCTGAGTAAGTAAACATAATCAAGCATTAGCTAACTAGCCACAAATCCACTTGACTTTATTAGTTTCTCTCTTGGCGGAGAAACAAGAAAAGGAACAAGCCATCAGAGACATTCACGCATCATTCATTCAATAAATATTTATTATGTGCCTGGTGCCAGGCACTGTGCTAAGCTAAATACAGCTTCCATTGCATTATTGGTATTCACAGCTAACTTGCATGTGACTGTTTTAAAAGAATAAAATCCCATTTTCCAGAAAGTGATTTTAACTCTTGAGATGCTTTCATCTTCATTTCTGACCTTGTGTCTTCCTCCACTCCATGGAGTGAGGTGTACATCCCAGTTAGAGTTTCCAGACACCTATGCCTCCCTCTAAAACATTCCCATCATCTGACAAGTAACTGATGAACAGAAACTCATAGCAGAAGTTCTAGAAACATTTTTATGTGTGCATTTGGGCCTTATTTTAAAGGTAGTAACTTATGCTTGTTCAAAAAGTCTTTTTTAAATACTAGCATGCACACATACACACACACACACACACACACACACACACACTCCAAATGTAGACAATGTAACCTGGAACTAAAATCTTAAGTCCCACCTTATCAGAGACATAACAAAATAGGTGTTCCCTTTCCCAACTTCTAAAAACAATTGACACCCCTCCAAATTCAGGACCCAAGAAAAAACTCACTCTAAGAGCCCAGCAGCAGCAGAAAGGATGACTGAACTAGAGAGTCCCCAGGTTCCTTCTATAAATGCAGAGGCCCCATCTAGCCAATTTCTACCACTTCCGTGAGGAGCTAACATGAGCACCTCACACACACACTGGCACACACACACACACACACACACGCACACACACACACACACACGCACACACACACACACACACACACACACACACACAGTGCCCCCATGCGTTATCCCCCCACACTCACATGCCTTCAGTCTTCTAGAGAGAGCAAGCTTACCTACACAACACAAAGCACCTCCCACCTCCCACCCCCATGCGTTATCTCCCCACACTCACATGCCTTCAGTCCTCTAGAGAGAGCAAGCTTACCTACACAACACAAAGCACCTCCCACCTCCCAGAAGGAGAGGTAGAAAGCCTGCTACCCTCCCCTGGGGAGACTGCTGACATCACATGTGTCAACTGGCAACCTCATTGTCATGTGGCTCTCCCCTGGCTCCCCTTCACTTGCAAAGGCAGGGAAAGGGTGAGACCTTTCGAAGCCGCCAAGTGGGCAAGCTTCCAACAGCAGTCTGGGACGGAGCAAGCAGCAGAGCCACCAAGCCGCGACGGGGCACTGGGCCTCGCGTTTCAACTTCTGTTCAGTTCTCCTGTAATGGAAAATTGCTTTGCACAAAGCTAGAGTGTTACAGTTTTTTCCAGCACCCGTCCCCTGCCCTGCCCCACCCCTCCGCAGCCTTCAGATCAGAGGGACAGCTCGTGCCCGCCCTCAGGAAGGTAGAAGGAGGGGAATCGTAGCTTCTTACTATGCCCCTCACTTCAGGCCCTGGCCCAAGGTTGTTACTCTTTTCCTTCGGAATGGGGCTAGTATCAGGGTCAAAGTGTCCAAACAATTGCCTGTGTCAAGACCAAGAAGTATTCTGCATAGGGAAGCAGCTAACGGAATACCCATCTGACATGCCCCTGAACACCCGGAGGCTATACCTGAAGGATAACAGAATTACTAGCTTACCAGCGATGCAGCTGGGACTCCTCAGTGACCTTGTTTACCTGGACTGTCACAACAACCGGATTCAAGAGGTGATGGATTATACCTTCATCGGGGTCTTCAAACTCATCTACCTTGACCTCAGCTCCAACAACCTAACCTCCATCTCCCCATTCAGTTTCTCAGTGCTCAGCAACCTGGTGCGGCTGAACATTTCCAACAACCCTCACCTGTTATCACTTGACAAGTACACCTTTTCCAACACCACCTCTTTGAGGTTCCTGGACCTGAGAAACACTGGCTTGCAGACCTTGGATAGTGATAGCCTCCACCACCTCCTGGTACTCCAGACCTTGTATCTAAGTGGAAACCCCTGGAAGTGCAATTGCTCTTTCCTGGACTTTGCCATCTACTTAATAATGACCCATCTGGAACACTCAGGTGAGGGATTGCTTGAGTGTGGGCAAGAGGATGTGATGGAATAGGAGGAATTGGTAAGTCCAGAAAAGGTAAGTCAAAAGATGGTCAGAATAGGAGTCAAAGCTGGTTGAAGCTGTTTAAAAGCACCGTTACTGCTTGGCCAGGCCCCTCCTTGAACTGATTGGAGAGGCAATAGCCTTGATAGGAAAAGTTCTGGAATAAGAACTCAAACTTGTCATCTACTAGTTATCTGCCTTTTAGAAAAATCATCGTTTCTCTGTGCCTCAGTTTCCCATTCATAAAGTTGGTACATTAATAATATCTATTATACAGAGCAAGGTTCAAGAAAAATGTGTGTGGAGATGACAAAATACTATAATTACAAAGTAATAAAGTATTTCAGGGACAGTGGATTCCATTGGGAAACTTTTAATCTGATTAATGCAGTGACTGAATTTTTCCAGAGTCTAAAATAAATTAAACCATTCATAGGCAATAGAGAATCCAACAGGACTGTGATATGTAGATGGGAAAGTTCCCTATAGGGAGAGGAGGGACACAGGAGCTCTGAGGACAGTAAAGGGAGGCAGGAAGGAAAAAAAGCCTTTTGACAACAGATTTTTTTCCTACAATACTGACCTCATAAGGAAAGAGAGAATGTCATGACTCAGAGGACAGGCAGGTCACAATGCTGTGTCAATCTGGGAGGTCCAATGTTACAGGAATTCTCAAGTCTTACCTCAGAGGGTTCCAGGCTAGGAAATGTCATGACTCAGAGGACAGGCAGGTCACAATGCTCACTGTGTCAATCTGGGAGAGTCCAATGTTACAGGAATTCTCAAGTCTTACCTCAGAGGGTTCCAGGCTAGGTGCTGCCACGCTATCCACTGATCCCCATCCCCTCTGCCACATCTCCTGGGGCACCCCAATACCTCACATCATTTTCTTTGATATGCTATCTGTATCCATCGTTCTTCATTTCTACCAATAGCACTGCAACCCCAGCAGAGTCAGAGCATCAGAGAAACGAGGCTCCTCGCAGAAAGCCTGGAGCCACTGACATTGAGTCTCACTCACATGACAATTCCTGGTCAAAATTACAGACTCCAAGAACTGGAGGAGAGGGAGCTGTGGTGAGGCAAATAAAAATCTGCCCTCCTGGCCTCCCAGTCAACATGTCCTAAAAGCCTGCCAGGTGGGGAATGGACTAGAGAAAAGCAAGATCCTTGGACACAGAATTTAAGGAGTCACTGAGAAGTGCTCTGAGAGTGAGTGCCTCCTTAACGTTTGTGTCCTAGGCACCTGGCCCTATTGCCAGATACTTCAGCAGGACTCGTTAGGATAAACCAAAAGGAACCAACTTTGTCAGAGCATCTCACCAACACTAAGATTAAAGACAGAAGCAACAATCTTGAGTAAGTATCCTTCTGTACCATCTTCTCTGAGTTGAGAGAATTTCTTCGACTTTTATCCATCACTGGTGCTATGGCGGTTTCTACAGAGTTCTCTAAGACAGGGTTAAGTGCCCTATAGTAAGTGTAGTCCCTAAATGTGATTGTTCCCTGTCAGAGTTCACATATGTAGTGTGAACAAAGACATCTTTTCCTGCCCAACCCTACATACCTATTTTTAGTGCTCACATGTTTTAATTAACATGCTAAGTATACATAATAATGGGTGTCATTATGACATCTTTGTACATGTATACAATGTAGTTTGACCATATTCATACCCCCATCTCTCTCTTTTTCCTCCCATTGCCACTGATCTCTTCCTCTTCCCAACCAATCCCCCTCCTACTCCTGTGTTTGTGTGTTTAATTAGGGTTTTTAACATGAGCGTGAGTGAGGATTATTTTACAGGGACAACTTATCAGTGGCTATACCACTAAAGAAAATGTCTCCTCCTTTTGTAGCAACCATTAACTGCCAATATCAGGCTGAGGCCTGTGAGGGCCCCCCCCCCTTCCACCATGGAATGCCGGCAGGCCCAATCTTGTGCAGGTCTTGTATAATTCAGCATACATAGCCATTTTCCCTGAGTAGTGGCCATCAGGATGCCAGGGAGACCTCCTACCTAGCTGAAGACACTGTAGCAGCCTACCTTCCACCCCAACCCCTAAGCCTACAGTTCACCAAGCTTTCAACTCTGCTGCTTTCTTTAATCGACTTCCTGTTTGTACAGTTCTGTCACCTCAGAATTTTCAGGCTGATGTCTTTGGACTCCTTGACTTTTTCAATCCAATCCATAATTGAACGAATTATGAAGCAGGTCTGTTTCACTGCATGTTTTCAAAGACAACAGAACGAATATCTATCCTGCCAAGCTCATAAATCCCTCATGAATAAAAGGTAGCCAAAGCTTCCATCCATTAGCCAGTGGACCCCACAACTGCTAATCTGCTCATTTCCCTCTGCAGTTCAGTGACCCAGAGGAGCCCTCCAGCACACTTTGTGAAGAAATATGATCTTACTGTTCCCGTTCCCTCCTAACATCTCAGAAAGCATGAGTTAGCCAAAGCCAGATAGATCTTTTCAGGTGGGACAATTTTCCTCACAAGTTGTCTCGTTTCTTTGCTTGAGTATTACACCAGCCCTTACGTGTCCTCAGTCTGTGGAAGAGGATAAGACTGGTATATTTTTAATATTTTATTTATTATTTTTATTTTGTGTGTATGAGTGCATTGCTTGCATATAGGTAAGTGCAGCCCTTTCGTGCAATGCCAGCAGAGGACAGAAGAGGCTGTTGGATTCCCTGGAACTGGAGTTACAGACAGTTGTTAGCTGCCATGTCGGTGCTGGGATTTGAACCCGGGTCTTCTGCAAGAGCAGTCAGTGTTCTTGACCGCTGATCCATCTCTCCAGCCCCAAGACTGGTATTTTTTAACTCTATCATTAGATGAGAAAATAGACTGACTTGACTAATAAATGGGGGAAAAATGATTTCATATTCAGGTCTGTATGACTCAGCTTTGGGTCATTATGACAAAATTTCTGAGAAAATCCACAAAAAGAGGAAACACTTATTTTGACTCAGGGTCTGAAGGTTTTGTCTATGATGAGTTGTCCCATTGCTTTTGGACCTTTGACAAAGTAGTGTGTCACAGTGAGAGCCTGTGGCAGAGGAAGCGGCTAAAGGGACTGGATTTCAAAACTTCAACTAAAGCCTCCTGCGTTAAAAGGCTTCACTGATCACTACATGAGCCACTGGATTTGTATGCTATTTAAAATGGATTGAAATGAAGTAAACGTTGGAAATTCAGGTCAATGGTCCTCTAAATTTCAAGAGTTCAATAGCTGAGGCAGGAGAGATGACTCAGCAGTTAAGAGCACTGACTGCTCTTGCAGAGGACTGGGCTCGATTTCCAGCATCCACATGGCACCTGAAACTCCAGTTCCAGGGGAATCCAACACCCTTTTCTGACCTCCGCAGCATTGCATGACACAGGTGCACTCACATTCATGCAGGCAATACACTCATACACATAAAATAAAAATAATAAAATTTAAAAAAAAATTTAATTATTTATTTAACAACCACACAATCAGAAGAAGCATTTCATTACAACAGCATTGACATATTCAGTAACAATTTCCAGAGTTAAGATGCATCTCTTTCAAAATTGGCTGTAAATTTTTAGGTTTACAGTTGAATTAATACAGTTATACAATATT